TAATTGAAAATTTCAAATTTTAGAGATTTCAAGAATAGACAATTTGGGCAGAAGTCCTGATTTTGGCCTATCCTGTTTGTTTAGTTAGGAATATTAAAAGAAGTTTTTGCTTGTTTATTTTATCATCAGCAGAAAATAATAACTCTATTTATTCTTTTTAACTCCATTAGCTCCCAGAGTTACTTTGCAACCAAAAAAAAAAAAAAAGAATAACAAAACCCGACCAACATCACAACTTGTTTACGTTTATTAACAACACCCTTCTTTTTATTGGCCACCACCATTAAAATTATATTACACCCCGACCGGGTCACACCCGTTCAATCTACGCTGTGACGTTATTGAATCTCAATGTTTTGTTTTTGTTTGCTTTCTTTGTTGTTGCTTTGTTTTGTCAGACACTGTAAATATGAATGATAATTGTTATAGATTAGATTCAATTAAGGGAGTGGGTTCAGTTCCATTCAGTTGTGTTCTGTTCCATTCAGTTGTGTTCTGTTCTGTTGCCACTAGACGAAAATGGCTTAAATGCTGATAATTAATAGAAATGCAAAGTAATCAATGTGTTATCACCAACAAATTTACACCTGACACTGTTTTTCTATGTTCGATGGTGATCGGTATTCGGTATAAATCATAAATCACATTTCTATCTGGATATTAAGAGTTAAAGATATAATCGATATGATATGTTCGATTATCAAGTGATTTTATTAATTGAATATTCCAGCTAATGATTTGAATAATAAAAGTGTCAGAAATGTATGGAAAAATGAGCGAATGATTTTGGTGGGAAATTTCCAAAAAAAAAGTGAAGAAGATTGATTTAATAAAAAATTGGTAAAGGTATATCAATCCACCATTTATTTTTATTTCCGATGAAGCAATGGGAAAAACATTCATTTGCTGTTGAATATGCTCAGTGTTATTTTGCCACTAGGCATGTTAAATCCATAAATGGACCATGTCGGTCCAGGTGTCCGTATAGCCCCCATATAACGGCTCCTCCCAATATTCGGAATTATAATGATTTTAGCGATATTATAGACCGGAATGGTTTAAAATTTCGTATTTTAAAAATGTAATGGCTACTACAGCCCATAACAAATAATTATATATGCAGACCCACGTCTTCGTATAGCGCCCCCTATACCTTCTTTTTACTCGGTTTTTTTATGGTTTTATCGACATTTTAGACCGGAATTATTTCTAATTTCGTATTTGAAGTTCGGAATTGGTACTACAGCCTATGACAATTACTTATGCAGGTCTTCGTCTTCGTATAGTCCTCATATGACGGTTTTCATTTCAACCATATTTTTTCGACGGATTTTTTTTTTTGAAATTTTTCCAGTTTCTTCTAAATGGTGATTGGTATTAAAAGCTCGTCCCGGCCGAACTTATGAAAAGGAGGGTATATTAACTTTGCAATTCCATTTGTAACACCTCTAAATATTCGTCGTAGATCCCATAAAGTATATAGATTCATGATCAGCATAAAATTCTAAGTCGATTGAACGATGTCCTTCTGTTTGCCTGTCTGTTGAAATCACGATACAGCACACATTATTTGACGTTGGTACTACAGGCTATGGCAATTACTTATTCAGGTCTGCGTATAGTCCTCATATGACGGTTTTCATTTCAACGGTATTTTTCGAGGGATTTTTTTTTAATGTTTCAATTTGCTTCTAAATGGTGGAGGGTATTAAAAGCTCGACCCAGCCGAAATTCTGTGTTTTTTTAGCTTTGTCATTTCGGTTGTAACATCCCTAAATATTCGTCGTAGACCCCCTAATGTATATATATTCATGATCGGCATAAAATAGTCGATCTAAGTCGATTTAACGAAGTTCGTCTGTCTGTTTGCCTGTCTGTCTCTTTGTCCGTCAATCTGTTAAAATCACGATACAGCACACATTATATAACGTATAGCTTAAAAATAACAATTTGCAAGTGTCCAGGATGGTTGGTATTGAAAATGAGATATATCGGTCCACGCCTTGGTATAGCCGCGATATAACGTTACGTCCCGATATTCGGTATTTTGATCATTTCCGTCACATTTTTTCACAGATTTTTCTAAAAATTGGTTTTGTAGGTCATAATGGGTTCCAGCTCCAGTGGCGAAACATTGTATGTATACAGGGTGAGATAAAAATTTTATTGAATGACGGCAAAAAATGTCCGGAATAGCATTACATTTTAGAAAAATTTAGATTTGTTTGAATTGGTCCACATTGGCACGACCTTTAAAGTGACCTTTAAAGAGCTAATGAAACTGTCACACGCTGTGCGAATGTTGATCTGCGGTATTTGGCAAATTTCCCGCGAAGCGCTTGCTTGAGGTGATCGACACTTTGGCATTTTTTAGTGCCAAACTAGCTTTCCAAAATACTCCAGACACAATAGTGCAGCGGATTGGTATCCGGAGATTTTGGTGGCCATTGTGCGCTATTAATGAAGCGAGGAACCTCATTTTGTAACCATTTTTGGGTGGCGCGTGCTAAATGCGATGGAGCTGAGTCCTGTTGGAATGTAATACACCCTCCAGAATATTTTCGCGATAATATTCAGCATTTATTCTGATGTTGATTAATACGAGCTGAGAGAGACCATTGGCTGTTATGGCAGCCCACACCATCACCATGCGCGGCGCTGAGTTCTGGTGGCCAACCGAAGGTGCACATTTTCAGCTGACCTCTTTGGCAAGTAAACACGATCATTTTGTTTGTTTACAAACTGCTGGACAACGAATGTTTTCTCATGGGAGATACTAAATTCGGCAATTCACCACTTTCGACCAAGCGAAGCAACTCTTTAGCTCTTTTGAGTCTAGTTTCTTTCTGCTGCGGTGTAAGTTCTTGCAATTTTTGGTATTTCAATGGCTGTACCCCGAGCTAATTTTTCACTATTTGCCGAATGGAATATTGCGATATGTTCAGCTCACGAGCCATTTTTCGGTCACTGCAACGCGGGTTTCGATCAAGTCGCTTCTTTACTTTTCGAATCATTTCTGCTGATTTAGCTGTTTTCATCCGTTCACTTCCTTGACGTCGGGCTACGCTACCAGTATCACGATAACAAGGGATTTTACGATATACAAAAGATTTATTTACAGCCAAATATAAAGAAATCACACTATCACGCTGGAATTCCGAACGAACGAATAACTTTTTTTCTGGAAAATTCTCATGCTTTTGTACGTTTGAAAACAATATAATGAGCTGTCACTGGAATAATTTTAACAGCTGTCGGACGAATGGCTTAGAAATGACAGCAGTCTGAATTTGGTTGCAGCATCTCATCTTATACATATTTTTAATGAAAGCCTTTTCAAAGTCATACAATGTACTCCATGGCAATGTTATTTTGTACGAAATGTACAAAGGTCTCCATCAAATTTGTTGAAAATCGATTCGGAGTTGAATATACCTCCCATATATTAGGAAGGAACTATTCAAAATTATAACTATTCTAAAGCCATATTTGATAATCTGGGTAGATCTGATAGATCAGACCCATCCGACTTCTTTAAGATTTTACACATAGACATTTTGAGGATTTTAAACATTCCACTTATTTTATTTTAAAGATCTTCATGGATTCGCCTAAGTCATTTTTTAAATAGTCCCCGTTAAACAGTCACTCCTTATTATACCCTCCAATATTGTATGGAGGGCATATTAAGTTTGTCATTCCGTTTGTAACACCTCGAAATATACATTTTAGACCCCACAAAGTATATATATTCTTGATCAGCATAAAATTCTATGTCGATTTAGCGTTGTCCGTCCGTCTATCCGTCTGTGGAAAGTCACTCTAGCTTCCGAACGAAATGAAGTAAGTTGATAAAAATTTACTGAAATGTGTATTATGTCTGCAGGACTTTTGGTATTGAAAATGGGCCATGTAGGTCCACGTCTTCATATAGCCCCTATATAACGGTACCTACCGATATTCGGTATTTTGATGATTTTAGCGACATTATTTACCGGAATTGTTTGAAATTTGGTATTTGATGTTCGTAATGGATACTGCAGCCTAAGAGAGAAAATGGGCCATGCAGGTCCACGTCTTCGTATAGCCCCCATATAACGGCACCTACCGATATTCGGTATTTTGATGATTTTGGCGACATTATTTACCAGAATTGTTTCAAATTTGGTATTTGAAGTTCGTAATAGATACTACAGCCTAAGGCAGAAAGTTGTCTGTGCAGGTCCACGTCTTCATATAGCCCCCATATAAGGGTACCTCCCGATATTCGGTATTTTGATGATTTTAGCGACATTATTCACCGGAATTGTTTCAAATTTGGTATTTGAAGTTCGTAATGAATACTACAGCCTATGACAGAAAATTGTCTGTGCAGGTCCACGTTTTATAACACCCATGGTACCTCCCTAAATTCGGCATTTTGATGATTTTAGCTGCACTATAAACAGATTTTTTTTTTTTAAGTTTCGCATTTGAATATTGTAATGGCTTATGAAAAAAGTTACCTATGCATGTCCACGTCATCGTATAGACCCTAATATACGGCTACATTCGGTATTTTTATGATTTTAACAGAATTTTTACGGATTTTATTTTTTTTGAAAATTTCCAAATTTGTACCAAATGGTGGAGGGTCGAACTTACAGCTTTTTTACTTGTTTTTAGCTTTTAAATGACTTGGTATTTAAAGATTTTACACATTGAAGAGTGAAATAAAGAGAGGGGGTGCACAATTTGCACCGCAGACAAACAGTACACCTACATATGTTTATAAATCACCAATCGTCTGAGCCCGTTCCACACTCTTTCCCTCAAAAAAAATAAAAAAAAAAAACAAATATGCCAGATTTTGATATGCAAGTAATTACCTCCCCCAATGGCGATAATGATGAAAACGACTTAATTTCGCATAATCAAATCGATGTTCATAAATTAGTGTAAGAGTGTGTGTGTCTATTTATTATGCAAATGTTTGCCAACAAGAACAACAACAAGGTACGTTCTTTTTACGATATGTGATGGATTAACAAATGTGATTTGTTTTTTTATTTTTATTTTCTTAGAAATGTAATAGTGTGCATGTAACAGATTGAAATACATTGTAAGGTGTAAAAAGAAGTTTTCAAAGACGACATGTGTGTACGGTTGTCGACAAATGTATCCTTTGCAGATCAGCCCAAGTTGAGTTTTCTTGAAAGATAACCTTAAAAGAAATAAGAAAAAACGACAAATTACTTAACATTGTTAGTTTCTTTTTAAATTAAAATGAATCAGTACGATATGTAAAAATAATAATGTGTTAGTGGGAATACATTGATAAGCATATATGTGTGTTGTAAAGAAGATATGTAGAATATATTTCATTGACTTGACATTAAATTAGTGACGTGAAGTGAAGTAAGTAACTTGGGTGCCAATGTAAACTGCAACCAAATTCAGACGGCTGTCATTTCTAAGCCATTCGTCCGATAACTGTTAAAATTATTCCATGATGTTGTTAACATGCGTACAAAAACATTTTGGTGAGAATTTTCCAGAAAAAAAGTTATTCGTGATGGAATTCGAGCGTGATAGTGTGGCTGGAAAACCACAAATGGCTATCGTTAAAGCACTCTAGCATTTAAATGTGAATAATTATTTTATGTCTCGTACCATTGCACGTTACTGTGATACTGGTAGCGTAGCCCGACGTCAAGGAAGTGGTCGGAAGAAAACAGCAACATCAACAGAAATGGCGCAAAAAGGAAAGAAGCAACTTGATCGAAAACCGCGTCGAAGTAGCCGAAATATGGCTCGTGAACCGAACATATCACAATATTCCATTCGGCAAAAAATTGAAAAATGAGCTCGGGGTAAAGCCATTGAAATACCAAAAAGTGCCAGAACTAACACCATAACAGAAAGCAAATAGACGCAAAAGAGCTAAAGAGTTGTTTCGCTTGGAAAGTGGTTGAACTGCCGAATTTGGTTTTCTCCGATGGGAAAACATTCATTGTCCAGCAGTTTGTAAACAAACAAAGTTATCGTGTTTACTTGCCAAAAAGGTCAGCTGAAAATGTGCACCTTCGGTTGGCCACCAGAACTCAAGCGCCGGCCATGGTGATGGTGTGGGCCGCCATAACAGCCGATGGTCGCTCTCCGCTCGTATTAATCGAATCGCGAAAATATTCTGGAGGGTGTATTAAAGCCTTGGTTATGCAAACTTTTTGGCCGCAGACCTTGGGCATTCCAACAGTACTCAGCACCATCGCATTCAGCACGCGCCACCCAAGAATGGTTACAAAATGAGGTTCCTTGCTTCATTTCCAGCGAACAATGATCACAAAAATCTCCGGATACCAATCCGTTGGACTATTGTGTCTGGAGTATTTTGGAAAGCAAGATTGGCACTAAAAAATACCAAAGTGTCGATCTCCTCAAGCAAGCGCTTCGCCGGGAATAGGCCAAAATACCGCAGAGCAACATTCGGCAGCATGTGACGGTTTCATTGGCTGTTTGAGGGCCATAATTCGTACCAAAGTTGACCAAATTGAACAAATCTGAACTTGTTCTAAAATTCGATGACATTTCCGACATTTGTTGCTTTCATTCAATAAAATTTTAAAAAAAATGTTAAAATTATTATATAAATTAAAAATTTTGTGAGAGAAAAATGTTTTCCTTGATGGCAATGCCTTTGATACAGATTAAATTAAGCCAGGTTTGCTTAGTGACATCTGGTCCATTTTCTGTTTTTTTTTTCTAGGTTGTTTTACAATGTATCTTAATGTTGGCAATACCGCCTATTAAAAGCCAGGCTTAGAAGGTGTCAATTTGCAGTGTTGAGTATTCCACATTCACTGCCTACTTTTAGGCATTATAGAACACACTAATCGTCGTCAAGTTGCCAGATTAATTAGTCTGAATTTGTTTTGTTTGTCAAGTATAGATGGCAGTTTGCATTAAATGGAAGAGATATAAATCTACTATCGTATTATCATACATATACGTGTACAGATTTCAGCTATATTTAAACAGCCGATATAAAGTACCTTTAAAATGCGTTTACACTTAAAATCTTTAACCAGGTTGACCCTGGCAATTGACATTTAAAGAGAGTTGGATGCTTATTCGCATTCTTTGAGCATATTGTTTTTTTTCAAAATTTTGGACTCTATTTGGGGGAGTTACCAGAAGAAATGGTCTGATGTCAACCATTTTTATAAGAGATTTTGTATTGATAGAAATATTGAGATATGTCAAGTTTGAATGCATTCGGATGTTAATTTCGTGTTTTATGAGCTTCGTGGATACTCAAAGTTGTGACCATTTGTGGGGGAGGTACCAGAAGGAGTAGACCGATTTATACCATCTTCACACCAGACCTTGAGTTAGTAGAAATAATGGGCCGTGCATAATATGAAGAGAATCGGATGCTTATTTCGGATTTTATTTGGTTTTTTAAAACTTTGACCCTTTGTGGGAGAGGCACCAGAAGGAATAATCCGATCTCCACCATCTTCATAATAGATTTTGTGTTAATAGAAATATTGAGATGTGTCAAGTCTGAATGCAATCTGACGTTAATTTCGCGTTTTATGACCTTTATGATGAGTGGAGGTACAAGAAATAACGGTCCGTTCTTTACAATCTGTATTGATATGTGCCAAGTCAGAATGGACCGATATATTCCATCTTCACAACAGAGCTTGGGTTAATATAAATATTGTGATCTGTGTAATTTAAAGACATTCGGACTCTTGCATCATATTTTGTAAGACTTATAATTATTTGATATTTTGACCCTTTGTGGGGGAAGTACTGGATGGATTGGACCGATATTGTCTATTTTCGCAATTGACCTTGAACTGCTGATAATATAAGGATTTGCAAAGTTGGAGCAACTATGATTTTTTGAAAGTTTCGACATTTTGTGGGGGTGGTGCCAGAAGGAGAGGACCATGGGCTATATCGGTCCACTCCTTCTGACACCGATCTAAGTTAGACAGAAATAGTACGATGTATCAAGTTTGGACCAAATGGGATACTCCCTTCGAGAGTTGTGGTGCGCACCAACCAGACAGACGGACGGGATTATATCAAAGATATATACCCTCTCTAGCCATATGGCTGAGGGTATAAAAATATAAACGTCATGGATCTGGAACCAATCCAAAAACAATGGGCTTTTATTCTGACCCACTCCAAACTGCCAAACAAAATGAAGTAGATAAATGTGTTTCAGGTTTGTACAGTTTTTGGTGTTTCAAAAATGCTATATAGGTCCACGTTATTGTATAGGCCCCGACAGATTTGTTGACAATTCCGAACCGAATTTGATCTACATTGGGAGTTTTGTTCCCAGTATGTAGGAAACATCGTTGCAGAGAACTGTACATATGGGCCCATGTTTTGGTATAGACCCTAAAAACCTGTACCTCCATATATTCGGTATTTTGATGATCTGTGTCACAGTTTTCACGGGAATTGTTTAAAATTTGGTATTTAGAGTTCGTAATGGGTACAGCCTCCTATGACAGAAAATTTCCTGTACAGATCCACACCTCTGTACAATATAACGTTACCTCCAAATATTCGGTAGTTTTATGATATAAGTCACATTTTTGTACAGAACTATCTCAAATTTAATATTTGAAATTGGAATAGGTACAACCTTCTGTGGCAGATATTTACCAGCATATGTTCATGGTCTTGTGTAGGCTTCTCCTGATATTCTGTGTTTTTATTATATGTGTAACACTTTTTACCGGAATTGTTTCAAATTTGGAATTTTATAATGGGTACTGCTGATAGAAAATTGCCTATACAGATACACATTTTCGTATAGATCACAAAAAACTGTACCTCCCTATAATCGTTAATTTGATGAATAATTTCACCAAAATAATTTTAAATTCGGAATTTGAAATTTTTTGGAGTTCGCAGTGGCCACGGTACTTCCCAATATTTGGCGTTTTGATGATTTTAGCTACAGTTTTCAACAGAATTACATTAAATTTGGTTTTGGTTTGGAGTTCGTAATAAGCACCTCCATCTCTGGCAGTTATCCGGATGTTAAGGTCCACGTTTTCGTATAGTCTCGTACAGAGGCGGTGGAACCTGCTATTTGGAATTTTTTACATTTTAGCGGCATTTTTCAACGGAATTTTTTTACACGTTCGAAGTTCTTTCTAAATGTGTGGAGAATATTGAAAGTCCGGCCTTGTCGAACTTAGGTGATTTTTTATTGGTTTCGATTTTTGATTTTTTTAATTCAATTCGAATTAATTAATAAATCGAATTTAATTTCGACATTGTGAAATAGGTCGATTTGAAATAGGTCCGATTTTATCGAATGCGAAAATTGTGTTCAGTGTTTTCCATTTTGATTAAGTTGGCAACCCTGAAACATGTCAAGTGAAATATGTCATTACCATCTGCTGGTAGTGTTATTGTTGCATACTTTTTGGCGTTGGTAATTTAACATTGACGTATGCCACATCTCAGCATTTGAAATTTATACTCAAGACCTGTTTTCTCTGGAATGAAACTTTTCCCGTTGCTAATTACAGCTTGAATAAACTTATTACAAATCGAAACCCTTAGTCGTCGAACAAACAGATGGTACAATTTGGGATTAAATTTTGTATAGATGACATTTTAAATTGTTTAAATTACACAAAATTTCATATTGTTTTGGTATGTATTGAAACCTCCGCTGATGATGTCAAATCCATGACAATTTAATGAACCTTAAATTGTTCATATAAATCTTGAGCTGAGAACAAAATAAAATGAAAATGAAAAAATAAAAACAAAAAACGTTAACAAGACATACATTGATATAAAACAAAGAAAAAAAGCAACAGCAGACAGAAATAAGTATTTAGACACGCACAACTAACATTTTTTTGTTTTTTAGTAAAACACAAAATACACATACATACACACACAACACAAACACTTCCATAAATACCAATAAAGCATTATATTTGATATGTACAAAAACAACAACGATTGCCTACAAAAATTTCCCACACCAATTCTATTTTATGCGTCCCCCACTCAATCATAGCCTCTGTATGAGTGTGGCATACAATCGGCGTCTTGGCGGCTAGTATATTGAGCTTTGCTCTTAAGCTTTGGCAGGCCATAGCGATCGGTGTTTTTATAATAGCCATAGCCAAGATTCCGACGACCATGATAATTGGGATTCCAATAACCGCTGTATTGGCCTAAACCTCCATTACCTCCATAGCCGCCATAACCACCGTTGCCGGGCAGAATGTTGGTTCCTGTGCCACTGGGATAGTAAGTATTGGTGGGATAATAGCCACCGGCATTATTCCATCCAGAGCTGGGGTATCCTGAGTTGGGGTAGCTGTTTGTGGGATAATAACCATTTGTAGGATAATTACCACCCGCGGTTGGATAATATCCCGTGCTGGGATAAAATCCCCCATTTGAGGGGTAATAACCTGTCGATGGATAAAAGCCATTGTTGGATGGATAGTAATTTGGCCGGGTATTGCTGGGATAATAGCCATTTCCTCCTCCGCCTCCTAATAAACCTCCTAGATTGAGAACTGTTAATGAAATGGAAATATTGTTATGAGGCTGGACTGGTTGTACAACAAGAAATTAAGACTTACGTTTGGCAGAGGTGGCCGATGTCTGCAAATCATTGGATGTGTCTGCATTATTGGCATTCTCAATGGCTCGCGATAAATGCATCAAGGTGAAGAGGATCTGGAAATTTTTTTAAATAAAAATATAAGTCAATATAAGGCGATGTAAATCGATTTGAGAAATGATTTTAAAGATTAAACGACTTATTTGATATAATCTAGCAAATTTGATTTTAAACTCAATTTGTACATCCTAATTTTTATGGTTTGATCATATTTTGGAATAGCATCGAGCAGTATACCTAAATATAATTTTGCCCAAATTCTGAAATTTTTTAAAGTCTCGTTACAAAATCAATTTCGTGTAAGTAAACAAACATTTGCCATCTGGCGTATCATTATATTTTTTTATTTCAAAACTAGACAGGACAGGTCAACATTTTAAAACAATATGGTAAAAATTTGTAAAAATGGACAAAACCATGATCGTTATGGACTGCGTGCTACGACATTAGACCAGTTTGAATTTGAAATCGGATGGAACCTACATTCGGAAGCTTATTTTCAATCGATTTCCACTAAATTTAACTGAGGTATTATTTTATGATGTATGTGACCAAACAATTTTCACCAGATTTAGCATATTTGCTTTAAAGCCGTCCATCCTATCCAATGTTATAGAGCGTACATTACGGCTCTGGGGGCTTTAAATATCAATTCGGATGAAATATATAAATCGGAGCTAAATCTATATCTGTACCGACTTTTGACAAAATTCAGAATTCTTTCTAAATTCTATCGTTTATACCAAAATCCATTCAAATATACCATCCTTATAGGGTGAGACAAAAAAAACTGCAACAAAGTCAAACGCCATAATTTTTACATTTTTTCAAAAATTTTCGGAATGAAAACGAAAAATGTCTGATACAGCATCAAAGTTTAGAATAAGTTTAGATTGGTTCGAATTGGTCATATTTGGCACGAATTATGGCCTTCAAATGGCCATTGAAACCGTCACACGCTGCCCGAATATTGTCCATTCCCGGCGAAGCCCTTGCTTGATCGACACTTTGGTATTTTTTAGTGTCAACCATGCTTTTCAAAATACTCCAGACACAATAGTCCAACGGATTGGTATTCTGAGATTTCGATGGCCATTTTGCGCTGGAAATGAAGCGAGGAAGCTCATTTTGGTGTTGAATCCTCTTGGAATATCCAAGGTCTGCGGCCAAAATGTTTGCGTGCCCAAGGCTTTAATACACCCTCAAGAACATTTTCGCGATAATATTCCGAATTTATTCCACGGTGGATTAATACGAGCAGAGAGCGACCATCGGCTGTTATGGCGGCCCACACCAACACCATGCCCGGCGCTTGAGTTCTGGAAGCCAAGTAGACACGATCATTTTGTTTGTTTACAAACTGCTGGACAACGAATGTTTTCTCATCGGAGAAAATCAAATTCGGCAGATCACGACTTTCGGTCAAGAGAAGCAACTCTTTAGCTCTTTTGAGTCTATTTTCTTTCTGTTGCGGTGTAAGTTCTTGCATTTTCTGGTATTTCAATGGCTTTACCCCGAGGTCATTTTTCAATTTTTGCCAAATGAAATATTGCAATATGATCAGCTATCGAGCCATTTTTGGGCCACTGCAACGCGGATTTCGATCAAGTCGCTTCTTTACTTTTCTGCTGATGTTGCTTTTTTCTTCTGTCCACTTCCTTGACGTTGGGCCAGTATCACAATAACGAGCAATGATACGAGCCACAAAAGATTTATTCACATTTAAATGCTGGGGCGCTCTAACCATAGCCACTTGTGGTTTTTCAGCCAAATATAAAGAAATCACACTATCACGCTTGAATTCCATCACGAATATTTTTTTTTTTTTTGGAAGATTCTCACCAAAATGCTTTTGTACGCTTGTAAACAAAGCTGTCGGACGAGTGGCTTAGAAATGACAGTAATCTGAAATTGGTTGCAGTTTTTTCATCTCACCTAGTATATGGAAGTTGAATCTTGACCTGGACCGATCTCGAATTTCAATAGGGTTCGTCCTTGTGCAAGAGAAAGGATTTTTGGACATGTGCGTGTACTATAGTTGCTAAAAATATCCAGAATTTGAATCGATTTGCAGAAATAAATTATTTTATCCTCAACTATTTGACTACAAAGGGTATTATCACTTGATGCGGCAAAACGTGCCTCATCGAATTACCGGTTTTAGGCCCTAAGTCTTTTTGGACCAAATCAGTTTCAGGACATTGGGAGACGATCTAGTCCACACTTATTACATTGTAATACTATTATCAAACATAGGTCGAGTTCAGAGATGGACAATGTCGGTCCGCTCCTTCTGGTTCCTCTCCCACAAAAGGTCGACATTTTCAAAAAAAAAAAAAAAAAAAAATTACTGCACAAAAAGAGAAAGGATCACTAGATTTTTCTCCAACTCTGCAAAGCCTAATATTTTCGTCAGTGCAAGGTCAGGTGCGCTGCACTCTATCAAATGCCTACACAAAAGGTCAAAAATTTGAATTATTATAAATCTATTCAAATGTGACGTAGGAGTCCGATTATCTTCAAATTTCACAAATCTGATGCGAAGATGGAATATATCGGTTCATTCTATCTGGTACCTTCCCCATAAAGGGTCAAAATTTGTAAAATCTATGAAGTTCAAAATGCAGGTCGTATTTATTATTCGATTCAGATGAAATTTTGCACAAATCATTTGTTTGGCCCAATCGGAGATCATCGGTCAAAATTTAGTCCGATTTGCCTTTTATTGTGCACCAAACGTGTAATATCAGCCCAAATAATATGGAATTTTACATATTAGGCCTGAAAAAAAGTATGCCAAATTTGATCGAAATCGGTTCAGATATAGCTATAGCTCCCATATATATTGTTCAACCGATTTATGTCTTCCGCAGCCGTATTATGCAATCTGTAACAACAATATTTGGGGAATATATCAAATACAGCTCAAAATAACTTTGCTAAATTTTATCGAGATCGGGACAGATTTGGATATAGCTCCCTTATATAACTTCGTCCGATTTGCCTTTTATTGTGCACCAAATGTGTAATATTAGACCAAATTTGGCACTTACGACCGAATTTAGTCTGGAAGCTAGTACGTGAAATTTCGTGAAGATCGGTTTAGATATAGCTAGTGTTATATTTGTTCCCCACAGCCGTAATATGCACTCCGTAACAACGATATTCAGGGACATATATCAAATATAGCTACGAAATATCTATGCTAAATTTTATCGAAATCGATACAGATTTGGATATAGCTCCCATATATATCTTTATCCAATTTCAAGTTAATTGTGCACCAAATGGGCAATATAAGCCCCAATTGAAAATATACAAACTCTTCGGCAAACTTAGTCCTTTGAACTTAAATTATAATCAAAGCTTGTATGATTTAATTATCCCACAAAAACTTTTAATTGTTATGCGAAGCTCTACTAAATATGCAAAGTGTGTAGGGTATCATAAAGTCGACCCCGTCCGACTCTAAGACTATCTTTACTGGTTTTTAAATAATCCAAGCTCAAAACAGTTCGATTATTTTTTTGTACACTTCTTTTAAATGTTCCAAATATTTGCGTTGGAGTGGAAATCAAGCCAAATATAATTTTTTTTCTATTCGTACTTCACAGCATGTTGTGTCTTCTCGAAACATTATAAATCACTTTTTATATCATTACACTGATTTGCTTTTTATCTTAGTGTTTTTGTTGTTGTTTTTTTCACCAAGTAGAACACATACTAACCAGAACTTTAAGTAATTTGCTATTCATGTTGCTGTGTTTATTTTTTTCTCTTTGTTTAACGTTATCAAAAATAATTAAATTTTGTTTAACAATAAGAAAATTTATAAGTATTCCAACCGCAACAATGAAAATAAATGACAACACCAACAACAACACTCTATGAATTCCACTGAGCGTCAATTTTTTGAAGAACAAATCCGACAAAAACTAAACATCCGTAGTTGGAGACGTTTGGAAGAACAATAATACAGATTCCCAGAGTCAAGTTGTATTTATATTTTGTACTTTCCGGATGAGTGGTCGGTCGGCCGACAATGAACATTTTATTTGTTTGTCTAGTTGTAGTTACTCATGAAATTGTATTTTTTTTTTTGTTTTTTTAGTAAATTTGTTTCGAAAAGTTTAATTTTCCAATGAATAACTCAGAATTAGAGTTAAACTCTCTTGCCTGCTGCTTCACAAAAAGTTCCCAGCATACCCGAACTTATTTTCTTATTGACATGTTCGGTTCAATAACAGCAACTGACGTAACTGATGTTAACACCAAAGGTGTCACATCAATATTTGGACACAATTGTTTTCACACCACACCCCATAAAGATTAAAAATAATACGCTGTTTTTTTTTTTTTTCAAAAACAAATTTCAATATTTAATAACAACAAAATTATCCAAAATTTGTCTTGCTTGACAAAGTAAATATTCGTAATAGTTTAATTCGATTCATTTTAAATGATGTTTAATAATTTTTTAAATGACATAAACAACGGGGTATTATGCACTTTTATAATAATTACTGTATGACATGTTTGTTTGCAATTTTTACGAGGATTCATTGTTATTTTTCAAAATACTGTATTTACTTTTAACCACATCCTTTGTGAAATACATACACTAGGCTGAATATCGCTTCAAATAAATGTAGAAAAATAATGGCGCCCAATCAAATCAGAATCCTAAAACAATATTCTTCCTTGTTCATATTACTCATGTGAAAGACTTTAACACCAAATCAGATTTAACATATATATAGGAGCTATAGCTTAATGCGAACCGATTTTTACCAAAATTTGGAGCATTTGATTTAAGATAAGTCGGTATTTCCCAAATTCAGTTCATTTAGGGCTGAAATCGGATAAAGATATATATGGGGGCTATATCGAAATCTGAGCCGATCTTGACACCATTTTAAACATTATTGTTAGTCCGATCTCGATTTGACAGAGGTATTTTTGCAGTTCATTTAGGGCTGAAATCGGATAAAGATATATATGGGAGCTATATCGAAATCTGAGCCGATCTTGACACCATTTTAAAAATTATTGTTAGTTGGATCTCGATTTGACAGAGGTATTTTTGAGCTCCGTAAATTATCTGGTACCAAATATTATTCTGGTGGAGAGCATATTACGCACGTGAGGGACTTAAAAGCCCAAATCGGATGAAACATATATATGAGAGCTATAGCTATATCTGTACTAATTTCTCCAAATCTGATGTACTTACTTCTAAACTGATATCGATGGATATGTCAAAATGTAGGTCATTTGGACTGATATTGGCCACTTGGTGCGCAATTAACCCGAAATCGGTTAAAGATACTGACCGTATATTTCCCATAATCATACCTCTGAGGGTATCAGTTTTGAAGTGTGATATCGGACAGGCTGAGCCGATGGTCCTTTTTCAATTTTTTTTGCCACGATATACAAAATTCAATTGTGCGATGTTTAAAGATCGGAGATGTTTTCACATTTTATAAGATTTTGGATTATCGAAATTTTGAATTTCTTGGAGTGTGGCACTAGAAGGATAGGTGCAATACTTTTCACTTTCACTCACACGATCAAAATATTATACAAAAATTTCTATCTTTGGGGATTCAAAATGGTAATCTAATCTAGAGTGGTACTAGAAGGAATATTGCGATGGTGGCCACCTTCGCACATGTTCTAAATATTAGGCACACATTCCAATCAATAGATATGATCGATAAAATGCAAATATTGGGATATGCAAAATTTAAACAATATCTGAACTTCACAATTTTTAAATGATAGACGATATGGCCTAATTTTTGGAAAATTTCATCCAAACGTAAATTTAAAAAATCGTATCTCTTATAATAATAAAACGGAGAAGTAATCTTAAAGATATTTGAAGTTTTGACCATATTTGCATAAAAATGGAGGGGTCCGCATTTTTCTTACAAACTACATGCAATGACATTAAGCCTCATATTTTTGTCGATATAACACTTGGACCCGCCATATCAGTAAAATTGAAAATATAAAAAATTGAAGCGAAACACTGGGTTTCAAAATATATAAATATATGAAATATATAAAGAGACTAGACGAAAAAAAAAACACAAACAAGTAACAAGTAAAAAAGCAGTAAGTTCGACTGAACCGAACTTTAAATACCCTCTACCATTTAGAAAGAATTTGAAAATTGTGGAGGGTATTTAAAGAATTAAAAAAAAATCTGTTTAAATATTAACAAGTAAAAAACAGTAAGTTCGGCCGGGCCGAATTTTGAATACCCTCCACCAGTTGGGACGAATTAGAAAATTTTCCAAAAAATAAAATCCATTAAAAATTCTGTTAAAATCTTAAAAATACCAAATATCGGAATGTGCCGATATATGGGGAATATACGATATTGTGGACCTATATAGACAATTCTATTTCAGGGGATACAGTACTCACACGGAACTCCTTGTGTGCAATTTCATACAATTCCAATGAAAAATGTGGCTAAAATCATAAAATACCGACCTATATAGACAATTCTCTGTCAGGAGGTACAGTACTCATAAAGAACTCCTTGTGTGCAATTTCAGACAATTCGAATTCTGTTGAATATTGTACCTAATATCGTCAAAAAACCGAATATAGAGAGGTACCAATATGGGGGCTATACGCAATTTTTGTCATAGTCTGTAGTATCCATTACAAATTCTAAATGCGAAATTTGAAACAATTTCGGTTAATAATATCCCTGAAATCATCGAAATACCGAATATAGGGTAGTACTGTTATATGGAGGATATACGATATCGCGTACCTATATAGACAATATACTACAAGGGGGTAATGTACTCAGAATGAACTCCTTTTGTTAATGAACTCCTTTTAGACAATTGCATTGAAAAAATTGGCTACAATCATCAAAATACCGAATATTGGGAGTACAGTTATATGGGGGCTATATGATATTGTGGACCGATATAGTCCATCTTCGAACTTGACCTGCCTGCAGACAAAAGTCTGATCTGTGCAAAATTTTAGCTACGAATCTTAATTTGTTTTTTTTTTTTTTTTTCTTTTTTTTATATTTCCATGGAATAATACGTTTTTGGAAAATTGTTGTCGATTCCTTCAAATTGCCGAAAATTAGTAGATACCATTATACCAAATACTGGACCCATGTAGGAAAAATTTTTGTGAGAAGAAATAGTAAATACTGAGCGTCCGAAATATACAATTACAACAGATTAATATCGATATAGTTACTAGAACTTAAAAATACTGATAATCTGTAGGTACTCCATATAGACACTACACCAAATAGAAGAGCTTTATCGAAGTTGTATGAAATATTTAATTACAGTATATTTCGTTGGAAATTGGGATAGAGTCTTCAAAAACCGAAAATCCCAAATTATTTGGCGACCACAGCAAGTAGTGGAATTATTTAAGAAATATCGAATTAAAGATGATTCTGTACAGAATTGTTGTTAACACTTTCAAAATACCGAAAATCAGGAGGAACATTTATATTGGATTTATACCTAATCGCTGACCGCTAAAGTCCATTCCCTATTATATCAAATTTCAGAGTTCTACAGAAAATAAAATAAAATAAAATAATTGCAATTTCAACCGGCAGATGGACAGCGTACCCCATGAATCGAAAAATTGAGTTTTCTCAATCTTTCTCCCCAAGGAGCGCTCGTTTCCAAATTGGTTTTCACTCTTTGTACACATTTGTGAGTTCTTCGGAAATCTGTTCACAATACACTAACTGTGTTGCCTCTCATATTTTCAAAAATCAATTTGTAAGGAGATTTTCTATTTACTTTAAATTATAGCTAAATTTTCCCAATTTCAATTCTTAATTTCCCAGTTATAAACATTAAAAATCATATTAACTTTCTTCTTTAAGTTACCTTTTTTTTCTTACTTCAATTACTTAAATTTTTTAGACCATTAACAAAAATACTTTTAATTTATTTGTCAATTATCTTTGAAAAATGTATGTCAAATAGTATCATAAAATCAGCATTGACACATCTAAATTCATTATCCTTAGCTATCATTTCAACGAGATGCACCTGTTAAGCAAATTAAATTCAATTTATTCAATCACTGGATTTTTGCCGAATAAACCCCATGACAGATAAATACATACATACATTACTCCCTCCACACAAAATACCCCCATAACATAACGTAATTCAATTGAAAGTGACAGTGACAACTTTAAACGATAATAATAATTGAACAAATAATCATTTATGTGTGTCCGGATCACATCGAGGTCTTTGCTGAGTAATTGAGTTTGGGGCGATACTTTTGCGCCCGCCATAAGTCACCACAAAAAAACCTAAGGGCTTATTTGAGCGGCATCACTTCCCGCCAAGCCGAAAAAAAAAACAAGTAAAATTGTAACTCTTTGGCGGCACTTCTTTGAGAGTCGAGATGTTGCCGCGTTTGTTTGGCCGGTTAAAAATATCACATAATTGCCAACTGTTTGCCAAAAGTAAATATTTACCAATAACAAAAAAAAGTAATCCACAAAACTATAGCTGCTTGTGGATGGGTCTGGTGTTTTTGGGGAATGCTAACAGTTGTGGGGAAAATTATGGTTAGGGGAAATGTTTTACTTGAATCATTAATTTTTAGGAATATTGAATTTTTTCAAGTGATTTGTGTTAAGAAATTTTTATGAATAATTTTTAAAGAAATTCGTAGGAATTTTTATTTTCTTTTCATAGGTTTGGTGTTCTGAACGTATATTTTCAAGAATATTTTTACAAGACTTTTTTGTGAAGAATTTGTTAAGGGCTTCTTGAAAAAAGTCATTCAATTTGAAGAATATTTTTAAAATTTCTTGTCCAAAAATTATGGATTTTTAGGGAACTTCATAGTAAGTGTTATGCATTTTTATATTTGCATGGACATCAGGGCCAAATATCTTACGTTCATTAAATGACTGACTTCGTGCAATTTTAAGAATTTTCAAAGAAACAAGTA